GGGAGATAGAGCTTTAAAGCTAATTACTGAACTGATTTGGGAGACTGAAACCATTGCAATCAATTATTTTGGTAATCATATCATTTTTCAAACAAATGTTTCCATAAAAAACAAATAAAAACATGGAAAGAACAGATCCGAGAGAAGGAGCATGGATCTCACCGATTCGGAGCACAAATCAGTTAGGTTTTCTTCAAGGAAGAAATGGTGGAGTGCACATGCTCCTCAACATCAGGCCAAGCTGCTTCAAAACATTCAGCAATGTAGAAAATGGTTTCGCACAAATCAGCAAGCGCCAGCTCCCGACCTCTATCTTCGCCGCCAGATTAGCGAATAACGGCCTCGAAATTGCGGGCCAATGACAGAAATTGGGCTCATCAGCTGCGATCGCTTTTGCTCGGAGAAAAATGGGGGTAAAGTTTGCAGTTTGTGATGTTTCTTGTCTTCTACCGACATTTGTGATGTTAATCGTTAATCCACTCAAAACTGCTCTTCTACAGATTTTGGGAATGGAGGAAGCGGCCATGAACATGTTTGAGGGAGCTCATCGTCGGTCATGGAGAGGCACAAAAAGCAAGAACATTTTACTTGATGAACCAGTTGAAAAGATAAAGAACGAAAATGGGAAATTTTTGCACCTAGCATGGCTTGCTTTATATTTTACAGCAACACTTCTTTGCTGCCAAAAGTTTAATGTCTACACACACACTAGAAAATTTTGCGTACGACAGACGTACGCAGTGCTGTGTGCGATATTGGGGTATACCGAGGGTATAAAGAAATTACATTCACGGTATAAACCCTTGTAACCTCTCTGTAACTTACGTATAACCTCTTAATATATGATAACAGAAGCGCGAAACTTATTTTAGGGTACAGATAGGTTACAACAAGTTACAGGGAGGTTACAATGGGTTATACCGTGGATGTAACCCCCATGTACCATCGGTATAACCCTAATAATACATGCAGCGCTGCGTACGTCTATCGTACGCAATTTTTTTCCCACTCCCTCTCTCTC